CCCTTTCCTTCTCTTCTTCTCCCCTATTCTTCCTTTCCACCTTTTCTTGAGCTGAGTGTTTATCGAAAACAGCCTCTCTACCTCTCCAGATAGGGGTAAGATCTGCGTACTCACTACCTTACTAGACCCCACCTGTGGGATTATACTGGGTATGTTGTTGTTGTTGTATACTAAAGCTTTGCATTCAAAGTACAATCATTCAATCCTGTTTATTAAAACTGCGACAAAGTAGCATATAGTTATGGAACATAAAGGGCCAGTTTTACATTGAAAATGATATCTGTTTGACAATGCAAATTTCGAAAGAGCTCTATACTTTTCGCTGATCAAAAAGATTAAACTTATACGCATGTTGAACTAGGATAATCAACCTTTTCTTACCTTTCGAAATATTTATCAAGTGATCCATCATCTCAATATAGAACTTAGGATTTCTGCGACGTATTGCAAGGCAAAGTAAATAGATAGCGAATACAACACATTCACAAAGCGAAGATAATACAACTACTGCATTCTTGAAGCAAGTGTCAATGTAGTGTATAATGTCCAAGTTTATTTGTTATTGTAATGGTATAATAGGTAGTGATTTTATGATGCTGCTATATTTGTTTACATGTGTAGGCTTAAGACCGAGGAACGAAAAGGGCATTCACCTTCTTCCAGGAAACCAGACGGGGACAGCGAAATGGTGAAAAGGTTTGAACGTACGAAGACTTCACTAGAAACGGAATTAAAAGACATTCGAGAGCGTTACTTTCAAATGAGTCTTAAATATGCTGAAGTTGAAGCACAAAGAGAGGATCTTGTTATGAAACTAAAGGCAGCTAAGAGTGGAAAGAGGTGGTTTTCTTGAATCTCGCTAGCATTTTTGTGGAGTTTTCATCCTAACCTTAGGTAAACTGGTCCATTGTTTGATCTAGCACATATATTATTATTGTAATTTATTGTCAAAATAACTGAAACAAGCTATAGACAATAAAGAATTAGACCAAATAAAAGGAGCATATGCTATAAAATGGAGTGACTAAGCTAGACAAGAAACTACACTAACAAAATTGTGTTATTTATTCGAAGATATGGCAGTGGCAAGGCCTTTTTGCCTTTGAATGTTTGTGTTTGCATTGTTATTCAAAGACAATATTTTGTTTATAAAGCAGATAAGGAAAACACAGTCAACAGCCAATTAGTTATTTACTTCTTAGTTTGTGAAAAAACTTTTTATGGACATACTTAGCTTCAGGGCGGATCCACCGTGATATTATCGGGTTCATCTGAACCAGTACTTTTGACGCAAAGCATAAATTTATATATAAGAATTCGCTATAGTTATAATAAACAGTAGATATGAACTCATAACTCTAAAATATAATGAGTTCAATGCTAAAAATATTAAAAGTTGAACCCATAGAGTTTAAATCTTGAATCCGCCTCTGCTTAGCTTCCTTTTTCTTAAAATTTCTAAATTTGTTCATGTCATCCTTGTGTTCGAGTCATACCAATCTTCTCTTTTGCGTTCCAAGATTTATACCTCCTTTTCCAATCCTTATTCATCTACCGTTTTATAACCTTAATTTGCTCTCTATTATAGTTTGGAGCATTGTTTCTTTTTATGTTTCATGTGGTTTTTGTATATGTTGTCTGAACATATGATTCCACTTTCTATGTACATACGTTGTTTGTGGTTAAGAATCTAGCATGTGGCATTAAAGAAGGCATATCCTCTAAATACAATTCAAAATCTAATTAAAATCTAATTATTGGGACAATTCAGATACCATCTTTCGCTTAGATGTTCTTATAACTTGATAGTTGGTGTTAATGCGTGTTGTTACTGCTTCTTTTTTCATCTCTTTTTGAGCCGAGGCTCTACCAGAAACCACCTCTCTACCGTCTCAAGATCTCTACCGTCTCAAGATAGGAGTAAGGTCCACATTACCCCCAAATCCTACTTGTGAGATTCAACTGGGCTTGTTGTTGTTGTTGTTGTAATTTCAGAGATTCGTTTCGTAATATTAACCGAGCAGGGGCGGAGGCACAAGCCAAGCTACAGGTTCGGCTGAACCCAATAGTTTTTGCTTAAACAATGTATTTGATGTTTAAACTTCATTAAATATGTACAAATATAAAATTTATAACCCAGTCACTAACACTTGAAATCGTTGTTCTAAAACTCTGAACCTATAAGGTCGAAATCTGGCTCCGCCTCTGTTAATCCGAGGTCTAAGTCGCAGGTTCATATTAGCCAAGTTAAATTCATGTTGTCTAGTACACCACTGAAAGGAAAAAGAAAGAATGAGAGAAGCTTACCAAAAATGAGTGAATATGCCAATGAAGGTGCTGAATTGTATGCTGGCTATTAATGACAGGATTTAGCCATAAGTACAACGCAAACCAAAAAAATAATTATGAAAAAGAAGATACTGAGTGAACAAAAACAAGAAAAAGCAGTGGATGTTGGAAGACAGCCACACATAAGTATAAAATATAGTGTGGGAACCAACAAGATTTGGTCACTCGTGTACGCAGAATTTTTTGTAAGCGATGTCGTCGTATTTATATTCAAAAAAGTATTATTTAATATATCAATTTTCCCACAAGTTGAAAGTTTTGGTCTAATGATTTAGTTGAATATTATTGCAAAGGGAGGTGTAGGTTTAATTTTCCTTGGCCTCAAATTTTTAACAAAAATGCTCGCTCAAAGATCTTCAAAAAGTAAAATGTCTCGGTCCATATTTGAATCTTACGACTTTTGCAAGCCCAAATATGAGCTTGACCAGCGGACGAAGAAGTACTCTTCAAGAAGCGATGTCATTACTATATATTGTTTCAATTCTGCATAATATTAGTATAAACATTTAATATTTTTTCCTGGCGAAGCGGTGTCGGATGACACTGCTTTCACCCATGTGCATCCGCCCTTGATTGTGGTGGAGTGGTAAGTATTCCTTCCTCCTTAACCAGAGGTCTCGGATTCGAGCTTTAGGTACGGAGTCTAAGTATGGAGTCGCCTTTCTAACGGAGTGCTTTAAGCCCTCCCTCCCCGAATGTGGGACTTTCAGGCGCGAATCCAAATTTAATGAGAACAAATTTAATGAGACTCCAATACAGATACCGAATATGAGGTGAGAAACCAGAAAAAATAAAAAATAGTAGCGTGGGAATATTTGACTAATTTGCTTTTGGCATCAGGTATCATTCTCTTATGCTCTGTAAAAGCTTCCATTGTTAGGTCATCAAACCTTCTTGACAGGGAGCACATTATATTTTAATACGTCTATCCCATCTGAATTCGAATTAATCGGGCTAATAAGTTTCAAATATTAAATGCCTAAAGAAGAAAAAAAGGTCATGAAGCCATATATACATGACCTTGAGTTCTAAAATAATCCAAGTTATCAATATTGAAACCTAAAATGTTTGCATTTTTTCACTAAATTTTCATGACTATGTGTATATATGATATAGCTATTACTAATAGAAATTCGGCAAAAATCGTCCGATCATTATCGATAAAATCTGTCGGAAGCAGAACTGACCGCAAAACCGTCCAAAGTCGATCGGAAAAGGCTAATATATGTTAAATATGTAAAAGAAAATCAGTTTATCAAAAGTAATAATTTTAAAAAAACTACTAGTTATTTGTGTGTGGTCTAGGTATGTATTTCTGATTTAAAACTAACAAACACGGGATGTCTAAGATTTTTCCAATGTAAATAAGTTAAATTCTATAATAAACATTATTTGATCTATAAATAAATAAAAATATTGACCTAGTAGCCATTGGCTAAATGTACCACATGAGTCATCAAAAGATCAAGATCCTTCCTAGAAAGAGCATTACGCAATCAAATTAAAGTATATTAGTACAAGCTTCCAAGGTAGTACAAACTGATAATAGTACTGCTTGTGTCACCTTAGAAAGCGTTTTAAATTCTATTCAAGATTTAGATAAAGACACATACATAATCAAGTCATCTATAAGGTAACTACACGTTAATCTCTCTCATACACCGGGAGAGTTTAAATTCTATGCACTAACAATATAAAAAATATTAACACAATCAGATTACTTCATAAATAATTCCAGATAAATTCTCTTGATAACATTAACTGGTAAAAATAATAATTAACTTGTTATCACATGTTAAAATTTATTGATAATGTAAAAAAAAAAAAAAAATTGTCAGTACACATGACTTAAATCAAGCAAAAGACTAAATGGTGCATATTTTTAATTAGAATTCAAGCAAAACACCTCTACTATTTTCTTTCTTTAGTGAGAGTTACTAAATATATATTTTTTTTTTTGTTTAATTAACCATCTGGCTAATTTTGATTTGTAATCACATAAAGATGGCAGATTAAAGCGGGAAATACTCTCTATCAAATTTGTCTGTTCTCAAAGTTCGTATTCGAAATCTCTCATTAAAAATAAGTACTGTAGCACATTTGTCACACCACACTCCGTTGGTAATATTTCTAATACTTAGGTGTACATGTCATAGTTTGGAGAATCACTTTGCCTGAAAAACCTAATTCATGAGAGTCTTTTTCCAAAATTCTGCCATGTGAATGATGATTTCATGATCAAATATAATAAATTAAACTTCAAAACTTGTACGTTGTTTATATAATTAAAATACTAGCTACAAAAAGTAAAGCATGAGAATATAAAAATCAAAGGTCAGAAAGGAATATAAGGCCATTAAAAGAAATAACATATATGATGTAAGATCAGTGGAGAAGGTACCAATGGCATATCCCTTATTAGATTCTTAACTTGCCAACTCAACCCTCCATTTTTACTCTTTTTTCCTACTTTCGTTTTTCCTTCTCCTTTACCCAAAATTCATCACATTCTCCCTACTTAAGTCATTACCTCACTCATATTTTGTCTTCATAAAAACATCACCAATTTATAAGACCTCTAAGCTAGTTTTCTTGGTTAGCAACCTCTCTTTTATCGAGATTTTTCGATGGAGAAAGACGAAGAACTCTTATGTAAACGGAAAAGACTGGAACGAAAAGACTGGAACCGTCAACTGAAGATAATGAAAGGGTGGCGGCAAAAGATGGTGCTTGTTTTCTAAGCATGCATGTTGGTAAGGTAATTGCATGCCTTGTTTATGGTGATGGTTTTCTTGTCAAAATTAAGGGCAACTTCTAATCCTTTGGCATTTGGAGTCTTTTGATGGGCTCTAGGAATTGAATTATAGTTTTTTAATATTTAAAGAAAAAGAGAGAGAGAATATATTAATCTTAAAGGCAAGGCAGACTATTTGCTAATTATCCTGTCCTTACTTAGTTCTTATTGAGTATTTTATTAAATCTTGTGTGTGTTTGTAAGTTACTTAATGAAAAAACCTTGTTTTATGTATTAGGCCTATGGCCAGAATAATGATCTAGTGGTTGTATCAATAATGTCTTACTGTTGTTTGTTTAGAGCAATATGTTTCCTACGTGAAACTGCATTTATGAAGCTTATAATATATTTAATTTGTGTTTTGAGCTGACTTATGAATGGTTGATTAGTCAATTGGATGCATTATAATTTATAAATATTAGTTGAAATGTTATGTCATGCATAAAGAGGACATATATATATATAATCTTGTTTGAAAAAGAAAGGGTTGATATATACTTATTCCCTTCTCTCCTTATGACAATTGTTTATACTCTCTTCCATCATGTAATGATCAGTGGCAGATCTAGAGTTTAAGATACGGGTATTCAGGAACGCCGTAACTTTAGCATATACCTTGTGTATGTATTGAAAAAAATCATTAAATATTCATTCGAAGTTTTAAATAATTTACTTATCAAAGGTTGTAAGGACGGATTGCTCTATATTCAGTCACACCACTGTGATTCCGAAGCGATCTTCTTCTAGTTGCGGGACGAAATCCTACCGCCAATTGCTAGCTCTGAATAACTAAATATTAATTGTGAACCTAGTTATTAACATGACATTGTTGACATCACTATAGGAACCCATAATCTTTAAATCATGGATCGGCTTTTTGATCATGATCGTGAGTTGTTTCCTCTAAAAATTAAAATGGCCTCTTTTTTTTTATTTTGGAATATTTTAATATATTACACATATA